TATTAATGGATGAAGATCTGTATTTCTTTTCTTCTTAGGTGATTCCCATCAAAAGAAGAATGGCAAGAGTCTTTTATTGGTTGTATAAGACTGGGTAGAAATGGGACTCCATATTTTAAAGGACAAATTGAATTTGGATGTAGATGTTAGTTTTCCTTTGGAGATTGATGAGGATGATCTCTCCGTACCGTACAATGCTTGGATCGTTTCACATGGTGAGTACAATTTCATATGGAGGGGAGTTACAATTTTGCTTAGTATGACGATATTTATTTTCATCAAGTCTTAGACTTAAATATTTGTGTTTAAATCATTGAGCATTAAGTTAATCTTTACTATTAAGCTCTGTGGAAATTTATACTAGTTCTGATTTAAAGGGACCATAAAGATATACTTATTCCCTTACTTTTCTTAAATATGTAGCTCAGGCTAGGCCCATTCTCTAGCCCATTTTCAATTTTAAGGAGGGTACATTCATATATTGATGAGAAAAATTTGCAAACAAATTAGGATCAGAACAAAGCTTTTTCTGAACTGAGAGGATTATCCTCACAGGAGTACACTTATTGTTCCTTTCCAATTTTGTTAATAAATTTTTGTGGGCATTTGTTTAGTTTATTTATATGTCAGTTGGAAGAAATACAGAATTCTGTTTAGCCAAAAATAATAGTATACAAAGCTTAAAAATAAAAATAGAACAATAGTATTCTTTCATGCTAACATCACATTGTATTTTCTGACTTCTGATTTTAATCTCGGATACAGTCTCCAAAATTTTTCTGTTTTCTGATGGGTCTCTATATTTTTGCACACGTTTAATAAGTTAGCAGTAAATTTTGAAGCCTCTGAGATCTTTGACCTTTCTACTGCAGTAATGATATTGCGAAAGAGAGATATAGAGGACACCATGAAGCAGGACTGGAAAAATCAAGGGCTTACAATTTTGCTGAGTTTTACTTTATTTACTATCTTGAAATCTTACAAATGTTTTCTATAATGTGTTCACATTCAGATTTTTTTTTTTTATCTCTTCTTTGATTTTGCACTTTTTTCTACTCAAAGACAGGCGGAAATATTCCAGTTCATGCCAACTGAATGCTCTTTTTTCATTAGTTTTGTAACGAATGATGAAAATGTAAAGTTATAGGAAACAGAGTTTACAATGCATGAATATTTATGATACTCCACGTGTGAACATTTGACCTTAGTTGGCGTTGTCTGTCTAAGGCAATGCTTTTGAAGATGGCACGTTATTGTTATGCAGCTACCTGAAACTGCAAGGAGTCCAGAGAGGAGTTGGTGTCTCTGTGATATATGTAGACCAAAATATGGTTTTTACCCTGTTGCAGGAATACCGTCCACTAGTTGCATCCTTGCTTGACATAGGCTGTGCACCCTGTCGCTGTCGTCCGATGTATGCTGAGTTGGCGTACAGCATTCAGCGTGAGAAATGGCTCCTTTTTCTCATGAAGACAGGAATGAATCTGGTGAGCTTTGACTCTTTTTGTAATGTTTACCAAAAAATATCAATACATTATGGTAGAGTCATGTGAGGTAAAAGTTCATTTTGGTATTTGTCATATCTTTACTGTCTCTCCATATATAAGGCTTATTACTTGATCCTAAAATATTTAGTCCTGTGTTGATTTTATTGGAGGGATATAGAGGCAAATCAAGAGTGTCACTTTCAGTAATGATGCTATTTATTTCATTTTTTATGGCACAGCAAGTCTTGGTAAAATAGAAGGTGATGGGGTTTTGTTGGGTTTTTGTTCTCTTCATTTGTTGAAGTTGATGTTGTTCGACCCAAGGCAGCCACGGCAAGTCTAGTTGTTGACTGAATAAGGGATATGCCTTGACTTGATGCTGGCCACCTGTAACATAGAAAGTCCATTCAATGAGTTAGGGGAACAGTGATACATGGACAAGAGCATCTGAATCAAGTTGAATTTAACTTTGATTTTTTAAATTCTTTTTCAGGTTTTGCGCAGACACGCAATTTATTGTCTACCTTATATTACTTCGCAAACATTAAGTATTAAAGTATAGTCAAAGTGTTGGCACATCAATCTGTTATCTTTGAGTGTAGCGTTGAGGTGTTCGTTCACTTGGTGAAATACGTTTGTTGCATATCAGTCTCTCTCGACTTGCTCTTCTTGACTGACTCCCCTTCTTTGTTCATCTTTGAGCATGATCACCTCATTGGTTGGTTGTAGTTTTTGAATTTATTTTTTAGTTTGTTGCATGTGTAGTTGTTGTGAATATGGGGTCTTGTATAAATTCCATGTGCTTTACCTCTCCTGTGGCATAACAAACTTAACAGTTCCACTTCTTCTGCGCATTTAAATAATATGCACAAACGTATTTCATCCAATTTAAATTATGAGCTATGCACTTTTCTAGAATTTATTTATTTTCTTTATGTTCAGTACTGTTTGTCATTACTTCAGAGGTAATTTTATCTAGTTTTGTTTCTTTGTCTTGTGGTGTGGATTTTTAGCCAGTTGGGCTCAATTTTTCAGTGAAAGCATATTCCTTTGTTATTGCCGTTTTGCTAATTGCGCTCTGCCTTCGTATTTGATTTAGCTAGGCTTGTTATTGTTATTCTAATAACCCGTTGTTAGCCGTTGTAGTAATGTTAATATCAAAGGCCAAGATTAGACTTT